CACTCCTCCTCCCTTCGTCCGGCCACCGCTCCCTTCGAGACTCTCCACTTGGACGTCTGGGGCCCTGCCCCGACGCAGGGGTCTGGGAGGGAGCGTTACTTTCTGGTGGTCGTCGACGACTTCTCCAGGTACACCACAGTGTTCCCTCTTGCGAAGAAGTCCGAGGTGACTGCTACGCTGATCAGGTGGCTTCTAGCCACTGAGGGCACTCGTGGTCGTCGAGTCAGTTGTCTTCACTCCGACCGTGGGGGCGAGTTTCGCTCCGGCATTCTCGGCGGATTCTGCGGCGAACAGGGCATCACCCAGTCCTGGACGCTGCCAGAGTCCCCACAGCAGAATGGGGTTGCTGAGCGCCGCATAGGCTTGGTCATGGACATCGCCCGCACGTCCATGATTCATGCCCGTGCGCCCCATTTTCTGTGGCCCCACGCGGTTCGCTACGCCGCACACCAGCTGAACCTCCAGCCGCGTGTCTCGCGGCCCGAGGCTTCACCGACCAGTCTTTGGACTGGATCCCCTGGTGTTGGGTCGGCCTTTCGAGTCTGGGGCTGCCTTGCACTTGTTCGCGACACCTTCGCGGACAAGCTCTCGGCACGCGCCGTCCCATGTGTCTTCCTTGGTTTCCCAGTGGACTCTGCTGACTGGTCCTTTTACCACCCTCCCCTCCACCAGTTCCTAGACTCCCGTGACGTCCGGTTTGACGAGTCCGTGTCCTACTACACCCGGTACCCCTGTCGAGGTCTCCCGGTACCCCCTCCCCCTCTCTTCCTCGCACCCTCTCCTCCTCCTGCTCCCGCTCCTCCGGTACCCCCGCCCCCCCCAGGTCCTGCCCCGTCTGGTGTGTCCCACGCTACCCCTCTACCCTCGGTCGCGCGTCAGGTAGCGTCTCCCTCCCCGCAGTCCTCCTCACAGTCCCCTCAGCAGCCTTCGGCACTTCCGCGACAGGTTACTTTGGACTCGGTTGGTGCTGGCGCTGGAGGTGCAGCCGCTGGCGGTGCTCGGTCTGGGGGTGCTCGGTCGCGGGGTACTGGAGCTGGAGGTGCTGGCGCACGTGACGCTAGCTCTGGGGGTGCTGGAGCTGGAGGTGCTGGCGCAGGTGGCGCTAGCTCTGGGGGTGCTGGAGCAGGAGGTGCCGGCACTGGAGGTGCTGGTTCTGGGGGTGCTGGAGTTGGGGGTGCTGGCACTGGCGGTGCTAGTTCTGGGGGTGCTGGAGTTGGAGGTCCTGGCACTGGCGGTGCTGGTTCTGGGGGTGCTGAGTCTGAGGGGACTGACGCTGGAGACCCTGGTTCTGCGGAGTCCACTCCGCCTCCCCACCGCCACGACACGCGTCTCCAGGCTGCCCGTCGGCGTGAGCGTGAGGAGCAGGAGCGGTTGGAGAGGGAGCGGCAGGAGCTGCGGGTGCTGGACCTTCTGGAGCAGCAGCGGCAGCAGCAGCAGCAGCAGCAGCAGCAGCAGCAGCCGCAGCCGCCGCCGCAGCCGCAGCAGCAGCAGCCGCAGCCGCAGCAGCAGCGGCTGCAACCGCCACCGCAGCTTCCTCTGGAGCGGCGGTTGTTCCCACCTGTGAGTGGCCTGCGGGCCCTTGGCCTTTCCTCCTCTCCTCCTGTCCGCTCCCAGTCTCCTCCTGTGTTTGTTCCTCCGTTGCCTCCTCCTGACGACCGTCCGGCGGTCTGGTCTTCTCCTCCTCCCTCTGTCCGTCGCGACCTGATCACTCGTTGTCCTCCGCGTGCTCGTCACTCGTCCCCTGTTACTGACCTCCACACTGCCCTCCTTTGTTCGTCTCGTCGTCGTTCTCCTTCTCCTGTGTCCGTTCTCCCGTCTCCTCCTCCGTCCTCCCTACCAGCCCTCCCCACTCCTATCTCTGACTACTACCGCGTTGTTCGTCCTGTTGCCGCACGTGTCCTCGCCACTCTTGTCACCGACTCTCGTTTCCCTCCGTCGTCTGCCTCGGCTCTTACTGCCGCTGTCGCTGAGTTTGCTGCCGCCAGCCACCTTGACTACGCCACCCGTGTGGTGCCAGCTCCTCCCTACCGTCCTCTGTCCGTCGGGGGTGGGTTTGCCCTTGGCTGTGACGTCCTAGAGGACAGAGAGTCTGAGCTGGAGTACTGGGCAGCCGCTTCTCCCTCTGTGTGTGCCATGCTGCTCTCCCCTGAGGGAGACCCCGACGCCCTTGACATACCGACTCCTCGCACTTACCGCGAGGCAGTGTCAGAGGCGTGGGCCTCTCAGTGGAAAGCGGCTATGGACTCAGAGTTGGCGTCTTGGAGATCCACAGGCACCTACGTCGACGCAGTTCCCCCTCCCAGGGCGAACGTAGTCGATGGCATGTGGCTCTTCAAGGTGAAGCGGCCGCCTGGAGCACCGCCGGTGTTCAAGGCGCGCTACGTGGCTAGGGGCTTCAGTCAGCGTGAGGGAGTTGACTTCTTCCAGACCTTCGCCCCGACCCCGAAGATGACTACTCTTCGGGTGTTACTCCACATAGCAGCGCAGCGAGACTACGAGCTGCACTCCCTCGACTTCTCCACTGCGTTCCTCCAGGGCCGACTACACGAGGAGATCTGGCTGCGCCGTCCTCCTGGCTTCACTGACACCTTCCCACCTGGGACCCAGTGGAGCCTGAGGCGACCAGTCTACGGTCTCCGCCAGTCGCCCCGTGAGTGGCACGACACTCTTCGCTCCACGCTTCGTGACCTTGGGTTCAGCCCGTCCTCCGCCGACCCGTCGCTGTTTGTTCGAGCGGGTTCTACTCCTTTCTTTATCCTTGTCTATGTCGACGACTTGGTGTTTGCTACAGCAGACAGGGCAGCCCTGGCTCAGGTGAAGTCCGAACTGCAGAAGAGACACAAGTGCACTGACCTGGGTGAGCTGCAGCGCTACCTTGGCCTGCAGATCACCCGGGACAGAGCCGCTCGCACCATCACACTGACGCAGTCACACATGGTGCAGCAGATCCTTCGGCGGTTCGACTTCCAGTTCTCCACCACACAGCCCACTCCTCTTGCTGTTGACCACAGACTCACGGGCCCCTTTCCTGACGAGCCCTTTGAGTCCAGTGGACCCTACGCAGAGCTGGTGGGCTGCCTCATGTACCTGATGACTTGTACTCGACCGGACCTCGCCTTTCCACTCAGCATCCTTTCTCGCTTTGTTGCGACTGGGAGACACCGCCCTGTCCACTGGACAGCTGCTGTGAGGGTGGCGAAGTACCTGGCGACTACATCAGGCATGGGGCTTGTGCTTGGAGGGACTCAGCCAGTGGCGTTGACTGGTCACTGCGACTCTTCCTACGCTGACGACGTGGAGACTCAGCGTTCGACTCAGGGTTACTGCTTCAGTCTGGGAGCTGGTGCTGTGTCGTGGAGGTCTACACGGTCGTCGTCTGTGGCTACTTCCAGTGCAGAGGCAGAGATCTACGCTGGTGCCATGGCGGCACAGGAGCTTCGCTGGTTGACCTTCTTGCTCGCCGACCTTGGTGAGCGGCCTCGCTCTGCACCGACCTTGTACGCTGACAACAAGGCCATGATCCTCCTGTGTCGAGAGCCTCGACTGGAGAGCAGAGTGAAGCATATTGACGTGAGGTACTTCCTCCTGCGAGAGTTGCAGCGACGCGGTCAGGCACGTTTGGACTTTGTGGCCTCACAGGCCAACACTGCCGACGTCTTCACCAAGGCCTTGGCGCCTGGTGACCACCACAGGTTCTGTGTGCAGTTGGGGCTTGTTGAGGTAGGCCCTCGGTTGCTGTAGACTTGCTGTTTGCTCTACTTGTTGTGCTTCTATATATACTAGTAAACTCTTGAACTGGCCTTGTGGCCACTTGCTTGTGCTCGGAGTGTGTGGTGACTCTGAGCGCCACCCTGAGCTTTGTTTTTTTATGCTTGTTCTTGACTGGTCTTGTGACCCCTTGTTTCCGTTGGTTGTTTTGATGCCCCTCACTTAGCCTATGGGGGTGTGTCAAATGTTTATATATTCTATATATTGTTAGATAGGCTACTGTGAGTTGCCCTCTAAAGGGTACAACACTTTAGGTCGACATTTGCATCTCCTTGTCCCTCCTTACTCAAACATTTACTCTCGACACTTGCCTCCTAGCCTATCTTAAGATGCTTCGCGTACAGCCCCGATTTTCGGACTCTGCACATTTGGCCGACATCAACGATGCCGAGCCTCCTCACGTCGCCTTCGGCGTTTTCCTTCGCCAAACCTGCACCCAACCACCTCACTCACCCGAAGTTCCCTCCTAGCTAGGCTAGCCACTACATTAGCGTGTGCCTTCATTGTATGATCAGTCTGTTGAATCACATTCTCGTTATTCGTTAATCTGCGCACTCTCCATTACAACTCATAACATGTCCGCTGTGAATCTCAAAACAATGTAACCTAGGAGCATCTATTTTAAAATTCAACTTAGCATTAAGAAACCCCGGTTGAGGTGCATGCGCTAAAACACCACTCGTGCTCTTAGTGTCTGCTCTTTGATCTAATATAAGTACAATGTTTCCCCATGTCAGGCCCATGCGCTAATGATCCTGTTCGAGGAGTGCCTCACATGAACCACTTACTCGTCAACTCCCAACCAGCTGCTTATCGCCATCGTAACCCTCCTGGTACGATTATGGAACAATCTTTTTGTCTCCTCGACCGACAGTAACGCGTAGGCTCGAACCCCGATTCGTTGCGCGCCGTGCTCGCGGGATGGCTGCAGGGTCGGATCGTGCAGGCGGAGTCGCAACTCCGGAGCGGGCTGTCCGGCGCGCCATGGCATTCGCATGACAAGGCGGGGAGTGCCACGGCGCGGGGAACAAAATACCTACCAGCGCTACCAGCAAAACCAGCAGCGGTACTACGAACGGTGGCGGTAGCGGGAGTCATGGCAGCACAGGCAATGTGGAGGGTTGGCGCGAGCAGGCAGGCTGCGCCAGCGCCATAGGCTGCGCCAGCTGTACCTCCCCCCATCCCCGCTGCCAGCGCCATAGGCTGCGCCAGCTGTACCTCCCTTCGCTGCGTCACTCTGTGCCTCTCCGCCTGTTTTCACCCCTGCTCCCCGCTCCACCCATCCCCACGCGCGCCATCAGCTGTGCCAGGTGCACGTGCGGGTGGGTCGGGGTTGAGCGAGGAGCAGCGGCGGGCGACGTGGGAGGAGCAGCGAGAGTGGGAGCAGCATGAGTGGTAGCAGCACGAGCGGGAGCAGCACGAGCGGGAGCAGCACGAGCGGGATCAGCACGAGTGGGAGCGGCGCGATTGGGAGCAGCACGAGCGGGAGCAGCACGAGCGGGAGCAGCACGAGCGGGAGCAGCATGAGTGGGAGCAGCACTCCGTGTGCCACACGCACAAAGGCACGTGACCTTGATGCCCACAGTGTGCTCCCACACGCACGGCTGCTTCCTTTCTCAACGTAGCGCCACAGCAGGAAATCTTCCCCTCAAGGTGGATTGCAGCAGCCAGGCTCAAGGGGCCGCCGCTGCAGGGCTGCTTGCTCTCAGGGTAGGGTTGCAGCAGCCATGCGTCAGCAAGGCAGGTGTGAGTCAAGTCAGCTGCTGTGCAAGCCCACGCACATGCAGGGTTTCTTCCTCACAGTGTGCCGCAATTCGCCCTAGCTGCCTGTGCACGATGTGCATCATCGCCAGCATCACCAACGCCACCACACCACTGCCCCAACCACCCTGCTGCATTCTCACCTCAAATGCTGCCATGCCATGCCGTTCCCCATCCACCATGCCTTTCCATTTCCTCCCCATACACCATGCCATGCTGTGCCCGCTCTCCTATCCACTATCTTTCCTCCCACCTTTCCAACTCCTCCCCAGCCGCCACTTACCTCCATGCGCTCCGCTCCTAGCCTGGCTACACGTGTCCCCTCCTCATTGGCCACAATGCTGGCGTTTCCTCTTCGCATATCCCCGGTTCTGCTGCTTTCACTCCTCTCTTTCCCCACCACCCTCCCCATCCCTCCCCAACCCGCCCCTTTCCCCCTCTCCCCTAAGACAGGCCACTTTCCAGCCATGATGAGTATGTTTTATATTTCTCTTGCCTCCAGCTTTCCTTTATTTGTCATTCCTTTTGTCACCCCATGGCTGCCATTTCATCTCCTCTCTTCCCTCCTCCTCCGTCTCTCCTCTTCACCTTCCTCGTTTCCCCTTTCAGCCAGCCCACTTCCCACCCAAGCCAGAAATGTCTCCCCATGTCTCCCACCCCAGCCAGGAGCCTAAATGGCCTCTCTTCTCCCATCTCTCATCCCACCTCTCTTCCTGCAACCCCAACCCTCCACCCCTTTTCTCCCACTCGCCGTCATCCGCTCCCGCCCAGACAAGGTAGCTCCGAGCCAAGCAAGACATGTCTCCCCCAACGTGGGAACGCCGCCCCACCCCCCTCTCGATAGTCGCACCGCTGAGGCTGAGCTGGCACTCGCTGACGTGACAAGTGCTGACATGGCATTTTTGCGACTGGAAGGCGTGTTTGCAGCGTTCGGAGAGGAGCGAGTTTGGTCTGCACCCATTGCCCAGGTCAGCAGCGGAGGATGAGGGGAGAGTGATGAAGGGGAGACTGAAGGTGAAGGATCAGAGGGGCGGATGAGAAGGAATGGGGTTCAATAACGCGCCAATGGGAAGGAATGGGAATGTGGAGAATGGTGGCAGTGGAAGGGGACGCGGGGAGACGCTTTGTGCATCTCATGGAGAGTGGAGTGGGGTGGGGTGGGTCCCAGTGGACGTGTGACTTGAGTGCTGCCGTCAAACCAGCTTCCTCCCTCGCCTGCTCTTCCCTTGCGTCCCTCCTTCCCTCGCCCCTTGCTCACCCGCTCCTTCTCCTTCTGACGTCTCCCCCTCTGCTTCATTGCCACTCCCTGTACCACCTTGCATTGTTCTGACGCAATCCCATCACGTCTCCTCTGACCCCCCTGTTCCTCGCTCTCAACTCCCTTCCTCTACCGTCCGCTCTTTCCATATACCCCTGCGCCTGCTCCCACCCTCCTGCGATCTCAGTGGCCCACCGCCTCCTCCCGCTACTGCTACCGCTCCTTCCTGCTGGGTGGGGAGAAGCGGGAGGGCGTGGTGGGATGCGGATAGTAAGGGTGTTGATAAGGAGGAGTGAGGGAGAGGAGAGGTGAGGGGTCAGCACGGCAGCTGACCCTCTCCCTTTGTGACAGCTGGCACGCTGGTTTCACCACTGCTGCAACCCTCTATTCCGCTCCTTGCTGGAAGGTGGGTTTGGGAAGAGGAGGAAGCAGTTGGGCAATGCGTGGATTGATGGGACTGGAGTGGGCTAGAGACTGGGATGGGACTGGTTAGGAAGTGAGACAAGAAAGAGAGCAGCAGAGAATTATCCCTTGGCACAAAGTGGGAGCAGCAGAGACGCCTTGTGCGTAGTGTGAGCTGAGCCTGGACGTTATCCCATGGCGATCTGAATAACCACGGGCCGGTGGTAGAGGGCAGCATGGGGCGATTGAGAAAGAGTGATTTGCGGGAGAGGGAGTTCATGTTGACAGGTCGGACATGATGTGCTGAGGGTTATATGGTGGTGCTGATGGTATGGTGGTGCTGGTGGTATGGTAGTGCAGAGGGTACGGTGGTGCTGACGTGGTTCTCATTGTGTCGCAGATGCTGGCTGTAATGGAAGACAACACAGCCATGAGTGTGGTGAGTCCTCACCTCGTAAGGCACTGGCCTCAGAAGAAACGACTCCATCACCCGTGCAGCTTCCTCCCTCGCTTGATCTTCCCCTGTGTTCCCCCCTTCCCTCGCTCCTTACTCACCCGCTCCTTCTCCGTCTGACATATTCCCCGTCGCTTTATTGCCACTCGCTGCACCAACACCAGCACAACCTTTTGCATCGCTCTCACTCAATCCCATCACACCTCCCCTGCCTTCATCTTCTCCGTCCCTATCACCCCTCCTCCACTGTCCATGCTCTCCATGTACCCCTGCGCCTGCTCCCACCCTCCTTCTATCTCAATGCCACGCCGCCTCCTCCCACTGCTGCCACCCTCTGCACCGCTCCTTCCTGCTGGGTGGGGAGAAGGGGGGGGGCATCGTGGGATGCGGACAATAGGGGTGTTGATACGGAGAAATGAGGGAGAGGAGATGTAGGTATGGTGTTGCTGAGGGAATGGTGGTATTGAGGGAATGGTGGTATTGAGGGTACGATGTTACATGCTCTCTGTGTGTTTGCGCTTGCGCACATGAGCACTTGCACATATTCGTGTCTGTGTGCATGGATGTATGTGTGCATGGATGTATGTGTGCATGGATGTATGTGTGCGAGTATTAACATGCATGCATGTGCGTGTGTGCATGCACGCATGGGCATGTGGTGCAGGGCAACAGGTGGCTACGACAGACCGTTCTTGTATTGAATGGTTGATCATCGCTACTAGGGTGCATGCAGTGAAGAAACTCCCGCTCAGTTCCATCACCTCGCTGTCTATGCTCTTCCTCTTCGTGCTCTTTCTTCTTTGCACCCCTCTAGTTCCTCCTCAAACCTCCAAAGTATTCTCGATCCGCTCTTCTTATTGGCAAAACGGCTCGTGGCAGTCAGTTCCCCTCCCAGTCCCCCGCCTCTTCCATGCCGTTGCAAGCAGTGAGAGAGGCAGCAGTACAGACAGCACGGAACACAGTGGATGTGAGGGGGCGGAGTGCAGAGGATGCATTAGCAGCGGTGGACCTAGCAGTGCAGTCCAGCCCGACTGGTGCTGTGCTCTTCATTGTGCATGGGCTTGGGACAGGGGTTCTTCGGGCAGCTGTCCTGAAATATCTCTCGGGCAGCCCGCTGGTTTCACGGCACGAGGCGGAGAGTAGGTCAAATATTGGGTGTGCTAAAGCATATACCTTGGGTGAGCAGGATTTGTGGTGCAGTTGCAGTGCTATGTGTGGAAATGTTGTGTACGCGTAATGGCCTGGCCATTAAGTTGAGCTATTTCCTGGGTAATATCCATACGGTACCATCAGATCACTCCATTGAAGTATGGTAAAGGAAGTGGCTGGAGAAATCATGGACGCGGTTTATTACCCAAACCAACACATCATAGGTGGAGTAAGCAAGGACATTATTTATTACCGTACCTAGCTAACTCAGGGTCCTGGCTGGTTTCAAGCTCCCACAGGAGCTATAACCGTATTGGCAAGCACCCTCAGGGTCCTTCTGGCTGGTGTGAAGCTCCGAGGGGCTGGACCGGAAGAGTTGCTAAGGGAGGACCCACACGTGACACAAGCTGCCGGTATAGCCGTATTTCCAGCTGCCTTGTTTGAGAGCAAGCACCCTCATGATATACGCCCCCTGTGCTTACGCCGCCTTTAGCTCTTCTGTGAACTGCAGGTGCAAGAAGAGGCATTATTAGAACCTGATTTGCTTGACATGCGACAGATGAAAAAAAATCAGAATGGCCAGTAGCGAGTCTCAAGGTCACCTTTCCCTGGTTCTTCTGGAAAGATATCGCACTCACTCCAGTCATGAGCTCCACCTGCGTCGAAACCCTTATCTGATGACTCCATACTGCAAACAAATGCAAACTTGGTCAGCATCCGTCATTTGAAGGTTACGATTACCCACCATGGTGCGAAGGGCAAGCCAAACCCACTTACTGTATCCACCAATTTTTCCGTTGTAAGCCATCCACTTGTTTCTCCCTGTGAATAGCTTCCCGCGGTCCGCATTTGGCATGGAATCGGACATCACGCTTTTCACGTGAACATACTCAAAGGCAGAGTTTGGGTTGTCAAAGGGCGCCCATGCAACTCCTTCGTTGGCAGTGTTGTCGCAAACACCGAAGTGGCAATTGAAATCACCTGAAATGAGAAGTTAGAGCAGCAACGAGGTTCAGCCTCTGCGTAAAAGAAGCGCTGGAAAGATACCAGGTGTTACTCAAGCTACTACTCACCAGCGCTCGGGTAATGCTCATGATTCCCCTTCGCGACATACACAATGGGATGCGTTCCCAGCACTGTAGCGAAGTTCTTTGACTTTTTGTCATTCCAGTCAGCCCCAGTGTCCCACGCCCACACGGGGCCGTCGCCGTGCTGCGCGTACCAAATGCGCTGCGGCTGGCCGGTCTTTGAGAAGCGGATCGCAATCGCCACCAGATCCGTGATGTGGTTGTACTCGCGGAGGATGGAGGCGTAGTTCTGTGAATATAGAAGCAGGGATAGATCAGCGATAAAACGTCACAAAAGAGGCAGGAGCTTATTGAAAGAGTTGGGGTGGAGAGGGGGATGGGGGGAAGTGTGGGAGGGAAGGAAACAAGTGGAATGGGGGAGGGGGGGAAGTGTGGGAGGGAAGGAAACAAGTGGAATGGGGGAGTGTGTGAGGGAAGGAAACAAGTGGAGTGAATCCAGACCAGCAGACTAGTTGGAATACTCACATAGGGGTAGAGCATCCAATACTGAATCTCCACAAACGAGTCAGCGTCGTCCGGCTTCGGATTATAGATGATCGTGTACACCTTCGTGCCTCCTTTTGATGGGTTGTGCGCCGAGTCCTTCACCCAGTCCGTATCCTTGGTAATCTCTTCGCGCGAACTGAGCAGGACAGTTCGGCCACGGTCGGTCTTCAACACCCCATCCCCCAGCAAGGTATCGAGGTTGTCGGGAGTGATCGGGCCCGCCTGGTACTGAATCTCTTTCGTCTTGTAGTTCTCAGTGTACTGACCGATGGACTCTGTCACATGTGTGAGGTACTCGTCGATTGTGATCGGCCAGATGGTTTCTTCGGGGTGGAACTTGTACTGCGGCGAGTACTTGACGGCCACGTCCTCCCAGAAGGGATCGCACGCGGGGCTCGTTTTCGGATCAAACATGCACGGGTCCACCTTTCCAGCAGGCATGGGCGGGTTGGCGTTGCGAACGAGCATGGCGAATTGCGACTAGAACCATTGGCCAGCTCGCGGCGCGTCTGCCAGGGCGTCCAGGCCCAGGGGATCCAGAGGGTCGCATTCGCGATCCACGGCAATCACGCCCAGAATCTTCCTTCTGAATCAAATGCAGCGTGGGGAGGGAGGAAGAGATACGAGTGACGATGTCAATAAAGCATAGTGAAGGTGTCTGAGAAGATAGATAACCCAAATGGGAAGGAGGGGGAAGAGAGATGCCTCGTGGGGAGGGAGGAAGAGTGATGAGTGACGATGTAAATCAGAGCATAGCCAAGGTATCTGGAAGGATAGATAACCCGAAGGAGCACCCCGGGCGGTAGTACGACACTTACGCGTGGCCATCGCTTTCCCCAGGCGGCTTGATCCAGACCAGAGCGTCAACTGCAAGCAGGGCAAGCAAGGTGTGCGCCAAAGGAACGGAGCCTCGTGAGTCAAACAGAATCGCTGGGATAGAACAGAAAAATGAACCAAACACGCAGAATGCTGGTAGTGATACCAAGTGCTCACCTTGCGGAGCACTTCCGGGATTCGCCTCGGGACGCTGTCCGATCCCCGCGCCCTTCACGTTGCACCACGACCCCCAGCGGTTGCGAATGCCAGCGCGGCCGGACCGGCTGGTATCCACGATCCACCTGGTCGGCAATCCCAAGGCTCCCAGGTACGCATTCATTCGTGCGGTAAATCGGTTCTCGTCGATGCAAGGGTTCCAGTCGTAGTTAGTCTCGCCCGTGCTCGGGTTCTTCACCAGTGGGCATTTCTCCAAGGCGGGACAGACGGAGGGTAAGAGCGGGAAGCTCCTCGCGAAGAGCGGGCTGTAGTTGGCCACGTTAGACGTGAAGCCGCGGATCTTGGCGTTCGCGCGGATCTGCCGCGCGCGCGCGAGGACCTTCATGTACACCGCCACCACGCGCTTCATTCCCTCCGGCCACCCTGCTCACGCGACGGGGGAAGGTGGAGTGGGGGGGAAGCGTGAAGTCAAGCAACGGAATAGATTGCAGCATTGGACTGAATCACACGAGCGTACGTGCGGCAGACACACTCACCGAGCCAGCCGCCAAAGCCGGAGTCGAGATAGAGCGTGGTGTCGGGGATCTGCGAGAGCTCCGCGATGGCATACGCGACGCCCTCCGTGTACTCCTTATCCGTCGTCGCGTCGCACCGATTCATCCCCATGTTCGTCGCGATGTTGGGCAGCGAGTCGGGCTCGATCACGAGCGACAGACGCACGTTC